AAACGAGCCTTAATGTATGCAGAAAATTATAATAAATCTTTGATCGAATAACAGGAGATCAGGAAGTTAATAATAATTTTCCCTTTAATGTACACAGAAAATAGTAGTAGGTATCATGAGTGATATGAAAAGAGGAAGTTTTCAACAGAATCGCTTTGTACGCGAATGTTAATTAGTAGGGAGCCACAACCGTAGCTTTCAGTTCTGAAACATGATAATGGGAGATACACCGTGCGAGCATAAAGTTATCACGGTTGTGCATTTTGCTGTTTGGGCACGTGTATTTAAATGATCGAACTTCCCTTGCCGGATAAATTCAATGGGTCCGCGGACTTTGATAATCTCTGAAACCAGTATAAATGAGTTTCGCTGGATGTACCGTAGGGAAATCAAAACTCTCCCCTCTCTTTTCGCCCGGAATTGCATTGCTCTAGTAATACGTCGTGAGATTCGAATACGTACGACACATGGCGATATTGACGCCAACTTGTTTAGTCGACAAATAGTCCATTACTATTCTAATTCTTTCCGTCACTTATTCTGTCTACTGTACGACCAGTAGAAGGATTTGATCGAATTTTAATATATTGTTGTAATCAGTCGTGCATTCCATGTGGATAATATTTTTGTGATAATATTTGTGTTGAAGATAGAGGTTTTCATTATAAATTCACTCTTCTACAAACCGAATTACTGCAAATCGAATTCACATTTTTGCAAATCAAATTCGCAACTTTTGCAAATCGTGCACGAAATTTTGTAAATTATATGCGCGTTTCTGTAGAACGAATTCATATATTTGCAAAGCAAATTCACACTTTTGCAAATCAAATTCGCATTTCTGCAAATCATATTCGTATTTCTGCAAATTAAGTTCACATGCGTGCAAAACGAATTCGTATCTTTGTAAAATTGTGTACACATTTTTGTAAATTCAATTCGTAGTTTTACAAGTCAAATTCACGTTTCTTCATACCGAATTCGCATTTTTGCATATTTGCAAATCAGACTCGTCTTTTTATAAATCTGACGTACTTCTTTGTAAATCATATTCTTCGAAATTGATTGCACACACAGGATTTCTATGAATCGAATTCAAATTTTTGCAGATCAAAATGACAGTTTTGCTCCAATGAAATTCATATTCTAACAGATCAAACTCATCCAATTGTAAATCAAGCTTTTCTACATCGTTTCCTTAAACTTTTCTAACATCCATAGAACTCTATGTAGATTAGAAAATAAATATAACTGTAAACAATAAGTATTTCTTTACGAAATCAATTTACAACAACCTAATATATATTCCAGCTGCCACGTCGACAACAGAGCTATTTTTGCGTAGAAAAGTGAGTTTACCCCGTTAGAGTGAAAGTGTTAATTATCAGAGTCTAGGGCAGCCGGTTTACAAGCGTTTAAAGAGTTTTGTAAGGAAGGCCTCGCCGGGGGCGAATACTTGAAAGGGGATTTACCTTGATTTTGTAGCCTTTGTTCGTACGCTTTATAAGATAATGGGCTATTCCGCTTGGCTGGAATTCGCGCGGCACTCGAAGCGAAAGGGCATAACATCCGGGTTTACTGGTGCTCTCGCGCACCATGAACGCTCCTTCCGGTTCTTGGCTCAACACTTCCAGCGTTATTTCCCTGAAATCATAAATGACCGCGGCGCCGTTAGGACGCGAATAAATCGCCGACAGTAATCGAGAGATCGGCCCACTAAACTGTGCATCGTTCGCACATCTACTAACGCTGCCAGATAATATTCGATAAAAATTGTTATCGCGCTCGTTGGACTGCGAATCGTTCATAGACAGTCCCACTGAACGAGGACAGACGAAATATAAATTTTATGGGAGATCGATGCTCCGTCAGCTGATCGTATCGTGTCCTAAACGCGTCTAATGTGTATCTTTTCAGAATAATGACGAGATTAGTGCGATTTCTATTGCAATGAAAGAGTATCGCAAAATTTGGCATGGAGGTATTTTTATATATATTATTATTATTATTATTATATATATTATTATTTTTATATATATTTTTATATTATATTTTGTATTTTTTTGCGGAAGAAAGCCATTTTAACAAATACAAATATTCATTTAATATCAGTTTAATTCTTTTAATAAATGTTTATTCATTTGATTCGATAGTTCTAGTATTAACATATATTTATACATTATACACATATACATTTACAGATTATATAAATAATTATCTTCCATCTTAAAAAAAATTCTTTTGGATGAACTTCGTATTTAAAAACTGTCTATATATCTGCAGAATTTTTCTGAAAAGAAATGTTGCCTTGGAAAGGCTTCTGAAAAAGTATTCTCGTGGAACAGGCATATTAGAATCTGTTTCATGAACTTTCTATAGAAACAAATTGTTTCAGAATGCAAAAAAGTTTCACCTTTTACAGAGGTAAATTATTTACATAAATCTTACACAAATTAATAAGACACATTAAATATGTTACTTAAGTATATTGTTGTGGTACTATCCATGGACTAGTATTTTATGACAATGATGGAAAGTATGTTCACAATATTCTTATCTGATTCCTGCTTTTTACAATTTACGTTTAAAATTTATATTTTGAAGATCCGCAATGTATCGGATGCTGTTATGAATGATTTAAATTGCTTGTTGTGAGGAGGATCATCTCGATTGGATCGTAACTATTGCAGTGCAAAATGAGGTATAATAAATATAAATATAATAATGTGGCATAAGTTTTCGAAAATTGAAATAATACGAACCTTGGTATTCCAGCTTGGAACCACGGGGCTTTACGCAGTTCGGCTTCCTCGCTGCGATTGTTCAGGCTGTCTGTTCTCTCTGGCAAAGGTGGTGGTGTTGGTGTCGATCCATGTGTACTTCCGTCAGCAGGTACCGAACTGCTCGAGGTACTAATCTGAGATCTTCTTTTTGATTTAAATTCTGTCTCCGTCCCCGAACTTGGAGAATTGTGTCCTATCCTGTAGATTCAATAATTACATTTTTTCAGTCTACGACCATCTCTTTACGACTAAAAAACAACGATGCGCATCATTCATTTTTGGATGGTTTTTCCTGAGAAATAAGAGTTAACGATTCTTCAATGTCTATCATGAACAGAAATAATAATACATTACCTTCCAAAATGTCTTTTTCTCTAATGTTTTTGCTTTTGTACTACTATGAAATTTTTGTATTCGAAATCCTGCTGAGATAAAAATTAATTGTTATACCCCCTCCAAAAAATTGTATAAAAATTGAGAATTAATCAAACTTACTATATAGATCTCATAAAAAATTAGAACACAATTTCTACATCCCAGATATTTCATTCTCCTCTGAAATGTTTTAAACATGAAATTTATTTTTGTTATAAAGGTAAATAATATCAAAATTAGATTCTAGAGATCATGAAATTTTCCAGGACTGATCTGCTTTACCGTATAGCTAGTAATTATAACAATTTTAATCATATCAAATAATTAATTAAATAACAATTTAATATCTAACAGTCACACACACACACACACACACACACACCTTCAATATAGTAGAAGTCCAAACAATTAACTTTGTAAATTTTCTCCTTTAGAATGAAAATCCAGGATGCAACAACACAAGCTTAACCTATCGCTGTCACAGTTCCTATGGGAAATGTATGACTGGGTCACTCAGACCCAGTATAGTTTGCAAACAACTGTCACTCAAAAACTAGCAATATTATCGGGACCCAAAAATTTGTGAATACAACTTGTACATTCTAGAACATCGTTTCCTTTATTAGAACTCGATATATTACTTCCAAATATATTGACATAATTGTTAACACTTTGTACTTGGAGCAATTTTAACTGTAAATCTAAAACAATTTTTCTGACTTGTAGTATTTCCATTTCATATAACAAAGTGCTTGTAATATTTCCATTTCATACGACAAAGTGCATTTTGTGCATATGAAATTAAGTCTTGTGACTCGTACAATTGCTTCACTTCTAATAATTTTTTCAATCTAAACTTTGACGATATCAAATCTTTTCCAGATCCTTCGGAACTGATGGACCAATGAGCAGAACACATAATTTATTCGGTATCAGTGGATATTGCGTCAAATCGACGTGGATGACGAGGAGCAGGAGGACATGGGCTAACTAGCGAGGGATGATCAAGTTACCTGTTGTTCTCGATGTTGAAATTCTTCGCGGTAATGGATGCATTAATAGTGTTGTCGAGGCTCTCGGAGGGGGGTATTTTGTTGTAGTTCGGCCTGGTGCCCTCCGAGTCGATGATAGCCTCGTTTATGTAACCCCCAGAATGCGGCCTGTTCGAGGGGCTCGTCGGCGTGCTACTACCACTGACGAGGGGGCAGCTGTCATCCTCACCGTTCAATCCATGAACGTCACGTCCACCTGTCCAACCCATCGCCAACTGCTTTATCCGAGCCGGCTTGTCCGTTAGCCTCTTGTACGAGTTAAGTTGTGTCGGTGAGTTGCTCTCGTCGCTGCTCGGTGTACTTTGCTGAGAGATACTCTTTGGCTCGTCCTCGTTCGTTATGGGCCCGAGAACGTTCGTGAAGTTGTGCGCCGGTCGTAGACCAGGAATCGTATTAGGCGTCTAAATCCATAAACAGAAAGATCCATCAAATTCACGATGATCATCCAAATGGGGCACGACCTCTACTGCATTCAAAAACTACCCTGACCGAATTTTATTTCAGTGGCTTTATTTCAGTGTCAGTGGCTTAACCAGGTATCGTATTAGGCGCCTAAATCCACAAACAGAAAGATCCATCAAATTCACGCTCATCATCCAAATGGAGCACAACTTCTACTGCATTCAAAAACTACCCTGACCGAATTTTATTTCAGATGTGTCAGTGGCTTAACCAGGTATCGTATTAGGCGCCTAAATCCACAAACAGAAAGATCCATCAAATTCACGCTCATCATCCAAATGGAGCACAACTTCTACTGCATTCAAAAACTACCCTGACCGAATTTTATTTCAGATGTGTCAGTGGCTTAACCAGGTATCGTATTAGGCGCCTAAATCCACAAACAGAAAGATCCATCAAATTCACGCTCATCATCCAAATGGAGCACAACTTCTACTTCATTCAAAAACTACCCTGACCGAATTTTATTTCAGATGTGTCAGTGGCTTAATCAGGAATCGTATTAGGCGCCTAAATTCACAAACAGAAAGATCCATCAAATTTACCCTCATCATCCAAATGGGGCACGACTTCTACTGCATTCAAGAACTACCCTGACTGAATTTTATTTCAGAAATGTCAGTGGCAAAATCTCCAAGTTACTAATTGGTCTGGCAAGTGTCACCCCTTTACTACCCTCTAGATTGAATATATCGATTTCTGTGAAGTTGTTTGCTCATGTCGCATTTTTAAGTTTAGTACGATTTTTAACGTCGTCATGTTCTAAAATTTTGTTTCTGATTCTTTTTCCAGATGTGCCAGTAGCTCCACTTTGCTGATTGGATGTTTTGTTTACGTGGGCTTTTTACTACTACCAGTACGAATCCCTTTAAACTGCACGAAGCAGGAAGTAAATTGCTACGCAATTCTTTGTTTGTGTTCTGAGAGATCTTAGACAAAATTTTCTAAGCGTGGTAAGACATAAGTGAGAATTTTCTGAAAAGCGTTTAACACTTTGTCTAGAATTTCCCATATTTAGGTGATGGAGTTATTTGCCTAAGCTTAAAAATCAATTCCTGCATTGATGGATTGTTTCTAATAGAGAAGAAACGCAAGAAGATTTAATTAGACCAAGGATTTTATGCATTTATGACAAAAATGAGTAGCAGTAATTCGGAACAGTGTGAAGATAAAATCATAAAAAGAAAGAAGAAATTCCCAAGTGTCANCAAACAGAAAGATCCATCAAATTCACGCTCATCATCCAAATGGAGCACAACTTCTACTGCATTCAAAAACTACCCTGACCGAATTTTATTTCAGATGTGTCAGTGGCTTAACCAGGTATCGTATTAGGCGCCTAAATCCACAAACAGAAAGATCCATCAAATTCACGCTCATCATCCAAATGGAGCACAACTTCTACTGCATTCAAAAACTACCCTGACCGAATTTTATTTCAGATGTGTCAGTGGCTTAATCAGGAATCGTATTAGGCGCCTAAATTCACAAACAGAAAGATCCATCAAATTTACCCTCATCATCCAAATGGGGCACGACTTCTACTGCATTCAAGAACTACCCTGACTGAATTTTATTTCAGAAATGTCAGTGGCAAAATCTCCAAGTTACTAATTGGTCTGGCAAGTGTCACCCCTTTACTACCCTCTAGATTGAATATATCGATTTCTGTGAAGTTGTTTGCTCATGTCGCATTTTTAAGTTTAGTACGATTTTTAACGTCGTCATGTTCTAAAATTTTGTTTCTGATTCTTTTTCCAGATGTGCCAGTAGCTCCACTTTGCTGATTGGATGTTTTGTTTACGTGGGCTTTTTACTACTACCAGTACGAATCCCTTTAAACTGCACGAAGCAGGAAGTAAATTGCTACGCAATTCTTTGTTTGTGTTCTGAGAGATCTTAGACAAAATTTTCTAAGCGTGGTAAGACATAAGTGAGAATTTTCTGAAAAGCGTTTAACACTTTGTCTAGAATTTCCCATATTTAGGTGATGGAGTTATTTGCCTAAGCTTAAAAATCAATTCCTGCATTGATGGATTGTTTCTAATAGAGAAGAAACGCAAGAAGATTTAATTAGACCAAGGATTTTATGCATTTATGACAAAAATGAGTAGCAGTAATTCGGAACAGTGTGAAGATAAAATCATAAAAAGAAAGAAGAAATTCCCAAGTGTCATGCAGAAAGTCCTCATTTTAAATCTCTCAATCGTTATCTTGCTAAATCGATTTTTCTAATTTTATATAATCTTTGTAGTTAATCAGCGACGAACGTGACGAAATGCGGATGAATAAAACACAGTGTTCAGACAGAGTTAGAATAGTTCTAATAAAGATTCAAAGCTAGCATCGTAAAAATCGCATAACGACGTCTCTATTTAAGAACCCGGCCTGAGAACCGTAGAGTTCTAACTATTAAGTGCCGTGAAATAACACGGCGACGATTCTTAAAAACGCCATTCGGTAGAAATACGAGGAATTAGAATTCATGTGCGTACCTTCACGCTGGCGAGTCGCAGCGTGGGCGAGCCAGCGCTGCCGAGCTGTACGTTCATGTCCGCCGTAGACGAACCGCTTCCAGTTCTGGACGTGGGCGACGTTCGACTTTTCAGCCACGAATTCGAGGATGAATTTCTGCAACCACCTCCCACGCCGGCGATCGAACTGTCGCCAGCCAGCGATTTGTTCTGTAATAATAGGGATTCGATCGTTAGCTTGGATAAACCACAGAAAAACCACGATTTCTCATTAAGGCAACCATGAACAACCAGTCGACATCAGGTACAAAGAATGTCTAGTGATTACTGTGTTGGACAACATAGTAAAACACTTTAAATATTTTCATATTTTATATATTCGTCTCCTTTTATTATAATAGGTCGTGCCATGATGGCGTAGTCAGATTCTTAATAATAAATACTATTTATCTGTTCTAAATTGAAATCAAACTTTATTCATCTGTTACTAATTGAAATAAAATTTGACTTATTTATTTTAAATTAAAAGAAAATCGTATCCATCTGTTATTGATTGAAGTAAAATTTTATTCATCTATTTTGAAGTGAAATAAAATTGAATACATTTGTTATTAATCGAAATAAAATTGTATTCATCTGTAATTAATAGTAGTAAAATTGTATTCATCTATTTTGAATTAAAATAAAATTTGATACACCTGTGATTATAATTGAAATAAAATCTTATTCATCTGTAATTAATAGAAATACAATTTTATTCATCTATTGTTAACGTTAAAGCATTAAATTAGAAGTAGAAATGTCATTAATATAATCTTCTTTTTTTAGGAAATGATTAAGGATAATGATGTTCTAATGATTGTAACTGTGAAGAAAATAGTATAGCAACGGGTTGAAGGTAGAAAATGTACTAAACTAATTTGTGAGCGTGATTTAATTTCAAGGAAGAAATCCATTTGTCTGTTGTGTTTCAAAGGGTTGAGTGCCAGTGCACATTCTTTATGCTTGTACAACACACAGAAACTTCCTCGGGACAGTGACCTTCAAATTACTTCAAGGCCACTGAAATCCTCGGCTAACCCTTGCTGCATAATTACCAACGATGTAATTGCGTTGAATGTTTAACAGGTTGGCGGGCCGAATCTGTGTATCGTGTTGCGGCCGCAGAGTTTACTTCATATATTGTTTGGAGAATAGTTCCAGGAATATAATATCAAAACTAACTATACCCGGTCTGAACCAATTTGAAATATGGAAGTGATTTTAGTTGCTGTATATAATGGAAATTCAAGTACTTGGATGTTGCCAGTTTTACTATTAATCAGTTAGTTAGCTGTTGCAATTTCTTTGAAAAGTCTGTAACTAATTATAATGTGTATATGTTTGATTTTATTCATATTTTGTTTGAGTACTTTTTTATAAAATTTAATAAACTAACAGAATGTAGAAGATAAAATATTGGTAATACTTTTGTGGACACACTTATATTGACGTTTTCTTTTTTTCAGATGTATTCTGCCAATAATATATTATTGCCAATATATTCTACAAATAATAATATATTGTGTCAACAATTTTGGAGTTCACTGTATCCACTGGAATGGTTTACGTAAGCACTGAAATTAGACTTTGATCAAATACAATCAGGTACAATCCTGAGAAATGTTTTAGGAAATGGACACTGCCAGTTTTGACACTATCGATCTTAACACAGCCAGCGATTCGACGGTAGAATGACAGTAGGAAATTGATAAATAGTTTATCGACGTTGCACTACGATTCCCAGGACGATTGCGTAGGGAGAACCAGCGGGCAGATCGCGACGGACTGACCGTTTACTTGGAAACGCGACGGAGTCAGGAGACTTGGGTCGAATTTATAATTAACGCGGCCTGTAAAATGGGACACCTCTACTGGAGTCAGATGACCCTACATCACCGCGTCACGCACCATTTATTTACCCCTCGTGCTCATCTGTTTGAGCAAATAGAACCAAACTTATGAAAATGTAATCGCTCAGTAATCTCTGTAATGATAGTCAGAAAAAGTAAGCCATTTTCTGAGTAGTGTTCTGATCATTTTAGTTGGTGGTTGTCGTTAATTTTATTTAATAGTTTATTTTGTACGAAAGTAAAAGATAATTTTGCAAAACGTCGCATTTTATTCTCGTCAGTTTTATTAAGTGTGTAAATCAACTCTTGGATGGTGACAGTTGGACCAATTTTTATTCAGATATATAAACGCTCCTGAAGCTAATTTTTTAGCTGCTTAATTTTACACTTTCCATTTAGAATGAAGTATTTTTGATAATAACTCTTTGTTAAACGGCCAAATCTAAAGGTATTGGTTCACTAGAGTGTGATAATTAGGCTGCAGATTTTTGTGCAAAATAAAAATTATCTGCATCGATTACAATAATTACTTTAATAATTTTAAAACATACAAAATAATACATCAATATTTTTAAATTCTTTTAAGCTTTCCACTATTTTAAATCGCAACTACCCAATTTAATGTATAAAAGATACAATGAGGAAACAATATTTTGCAATGGTTAAAAACCTGTGACAAACGTAAACATATACAGTTTTGTGTATTGTACATGTTTGCATATGCTGTGAATACGCAATGATCTGTATTCTAGCGATGCTTGGCGACACATTAGAAGATTATCGAAATCGGATGTGGATTTCGTTCCGTGAATATTTACTCCCGGAATTTTTGTCCATTTCAGTAATTTCCGCGACCTCCTATTCCAGGTACAAACTTCTCCGTGCCTCACCGGGCTCGCCGACTGGATTGCGAGAGAATTTCGTTTCTGATAAATGGTCCGGTTAAAATCCGGTGACAGGCAATTATTTGGAACGGTCGACCGTGAAAAATTGCTATCAAACGAAAAAACGATCGAAGCAAAGAGCGACTCTTTTGAACAAACAGCGTCACGTTGCGTCTCTCGCGTATGTTGCACAGATAGTTCAATTTGACCTGATGGAATCGCAATTACATGCTTAGCTTTTACGGAAACTTACGTTAATCTCCAAAAAAATTCAATGCTACTCCGTATTAGGTTGATCTTCGAATTTAGTTACCTTATTAGTCTGATCTTCAAATCCAGTTGTATTCCTTATTAGGCTGATATTCAAATTCTTTAATCTTCTTTCTTATTTAATATTATAATTTAACATTATAATATTGTTGTTATTTAACTTTTTCATTATACATTAGAATGATCTTTTTAGTTTCTTGTACACCTTTATGGTATATCAAAACTTAAAACGCAGGAAGGATGTTATATACAGGATGTTTCAAAATATGTGGGCATAACTTCAGAGGTGGTTGTAGTACGTTAAAGGTAAAAGTCATATGAACACATACGTTTACAGAAATTTTTTTCTTATTTTAGCACACTAATTCCACGTCTGAAGTAATGCAAGCGTCTTTCGAAACATCGTGTTTATCAGAATGATTAAAATTACAGTTTGCTACTGAATAATAGTATGTCAAAATTTTGTGAAAATTGGAGATCACAAGAATTTAGTAGGTTCTGATTTGGTTCATAACTTGTTCGACAATTATACTTCATGCATTTATATTTGTCACGAAGAACGTAAATATGCAATTGCGTGAAGTTTCCTTAAAAAGATTCGCTAAAGTGACCCAGTTTTCGCAGGGTAGGAACGAACGGATCCCTTTAAAGGAAGCGAAAGTGTTTCCCTGACAATGGGGAGGGGTAGGAAGAATACGTACCCACGAGGACCGGGTCTCCTGTTTGTCTTTGCGATAGGGTGGCGATGACTGCGGTGAGATCACATCCTGAAGGATCGGTTGGCGCTGGAGTTGCGCCACGTATGCCATACGAAAAGCATTGCCGACAAGGGTGTTCAACTCCTCGGCCTGCAATCAGAATGGTAACAAAACATTATAATCGAACAATACAACTCGTTCTAAAAGACCACCCAAAATTCTGGACAAATACGATCACGTACAACTTGCTCTGAACTCTCTTTCTCTCTCTCTCTCTCTCTCTCTCTCTCTCTCTCTCTATACATACATATATATATATATATATATATATATATATATATATATATAAATATATAAAAAATATATATATATAAAATTATATAAATATAATATATTAAATATTTATATACATTTATTTAATATAATATATTAAATATTTATATATATTTATTTAATATATTATATAAATATAATATATTAAATATTTATATATATNAAATTGCTATCAAACGAAAAAACGATCGAAGCAAAGAGCGACTCTTTTGAACAAACAGCGTCACGTTGCGTCTCTCGCGTATGTTGCACAGATAGTTCAATTTGACCTGATGGAATCGCAATTACATGCTTAGCTTTTACGGAAACTTACGTTAATCTCCAAAAAAATTCAATGCTACTCCGTATTAGGTTGATCTTCGAATTTAGTTACCTTATTAGTCTGATCTTCAAATCCAGTTGTATTCCTTATTAGGCTGATATTCAAATTCTTTAATCTTCTTTCTTATTTAATATTATAATTTAACATTATAATATTGTTGTTATTTAACTTTTTCATTATACATTAGAATGATCTTTTTAGTTTCTTGTACACCTTTATGGTATATCAAAACTTAAAACGCAGGAAGGATGTTATATACAGGATGTTTCAAAATATGTGGGCATAACTTCAGAGGTGGTTGTAGTACGTTAAAGGTAAAAGTCATATGAACACATACGTTTACAGAAATTTTTTTCTTATTTTAGCACACTAATTCCACGTCTGAAGTAATGCAAGCGTCTTTCGAAACATCGTGTTTATCAGAATGATTAAAATTACAGTTTGCTACTGAATAATAGTATGTCAAAATTTTGTGAAAATTGGAGATCACAAGAATTTAGTAGGTTCTGATTTGGTTCATAACTTGTTCGACAATTATACTTCATGCATTTATATTTGTCACGAAGAACGTAAATATGCAATTGCGTGAAGTTTCCTTAAAAAGATTCGCTAAAGTGACCCAGTTTTCGCAGGGTAGGAACGAACGGATCCCTTTAAAGGAAGCGAAAGTGTTTCCCTGACAATGGGGAGGGGTAGGAAGAATACGTACCCACGAGGACCGGGTCTCCTGTTTGTCTTTGCGATAGGGTGGCGATGACTGCGGTGAGATCACATCCTGAAGGATCGGTTGGCGCTGGAGTTGCGCCACGTATGCCATACGAAAAGCATTGCCGACAAGGGTGTTCAACTCCTCGGCCTGCAATCAGAATGGTAACAAAACATTATAATCGAACAATACAACTCGTTCTAAAAGACCACCCAAAATTCTGGACAAATACGATCACGTACAACTTGCTCTGAACTCTCTTTCTCTCTCTCTCTCTCTCTCTCTCTCTCTCTCTC